AAAGAGACTAACCTTTCCTTACCAAGTGTTCTTGGCTCTCCTGTCAAATATTTAGCCAACTGTAAACGCATGGGCTTATTTCTGAGCTCTTGATTCTGTCCATTGAACTGTGTCTGTTTCTTTGACAGTACCAAACCATTTTGATTACTATAGCTTTTTAATACACAGTAGTTTGAAATCAGGAAGTATGATGCCTCTAGCTTTGTTATTCTTTCTTATGATTGCTTTGGGTTTTCAGGGTCTTTTGTGACTCCAGACAAATTTTAGAATTTTTTTTCTATTTCTATAAAAACTACCGCCATTGGAATTTTGATAGGTATTGCATTGAATCTATTGGCTTTGGGTAGTATGGACATTTTAATGATACTCTTTCAATACATGAACACAGGATATCTTTCTATTTGGGACTTCTTCAATTTCTTTCATCAATGTCCTGCCCTGACTTTTGAAAACTGCCTTCTGGCAACAAACTAGAAAAATCCTGGCACTTACTTTTTTCATTCCCTTTCCCTCAGAGATCATTGCCCTTGCTACCTGTTGTCCACTATCTGAAAATGCCAATCATTAAATGTGGATGAAATACAGTTCCTCCTGGAAATGCAGGAAACCTTAATACTTTCCTTTCAACAACCAATTTCTAGAATCAGAAGATGATGTAGTGATCACCTCTAATTGTGATAGGTTTCTTACTTTCTCTTTCTCTTCTTTTTATCATTACCCTATATACATGAGTTTGTATTAATTCAATATTTTTCTATCAATCATAGTCATTTTTTGATGGATTGATTTTCTCAAATTTTCTCAATAGAAGCCTCTTTAAGCTATTTTCTGTGTCCTTTAGATATGCTCCTACTAATCTCTAAGAGCTTCCTTGCTTCATGGCACAACAGAAAGATAGCCTAACCACAGAGTCCCTTCCTCCTACCTGAAATCAGCTATTTTGTTTTCCTCTCAGTAAATTTAATTGACTGTAATTCTAGGGTTTTTTTTTTATTTTTTCTGAATATTTATTTGGATTTTCCTGGACCCAGATGATTCTGTTTCAGATGAGAAAGAAGTTTGGATGAATTATTAGCTTCCTTAATTTTCTTTTGCTGTAGTTTGTCTGGTATTTTTTTTTAATAAATGACACATATTTTGATCTGTTTTCTGATCCCTTGTTTGCTCTGGTTTGGGCTCCTCAGCCAATTCTGCCTGTTCTGGGTGTTACTGTTTTCACTTATATATACAGTGAAATTTGTGCTATTATCTTTCTCATGGGTATGCTGTGAGGGTGTACATTATGGAAGGTTATTTGTGCTCTGATTGTTCTGAGTGGATTTTGGAGGATTCTAACTTGAAGAATTGGATCTTAGAATTTAGATTATCACCATTACTCTCTCAGGATTCTGTCTTTCTTTCTTTGTCAACTCTGGAATTACAACCTGGGGTTTTGTTGTTGTTTTGTACTATTTTGCATTATTGCAGAGTACTCTGAAGTATTGCCTCCAAAGTAGTATACTTTCTACTTCTCATATTACTTGAAATATCATATATCACCCACCTCCTCACATTATATATTTATACGTTTATTAGGCTAAGTAGATTTAATTAAATTTTTTTCTGCCAAAAAATTGAATTTATGTCTCTTATATTATTTCTATTTTATTCAAGAGATTGGTATCACAAATTGTTATCACCATATATGTGGGATAGTTTGTTGGCAACAATATGTTTAAAATGGCATATGAAACCTAATTAGTAAACTGTATACCACTAGTGGTTAATTGAGCAGACACCGATCAATTTTAATATTTAAAAACTGGAATCATTCCTTGTAGGGACACCTCAAGAAAACCCTGGATTTTTTCTTTCTTTCTTTTTTTTTTTCATTTGTAAAGCTAATGGTAGTATTAAAATCTCAGCCTTGTTATGAAAGATCAATGAGCTCCCCTCGCAAACTGTATTGCCTAGCATTTAGTAAGTAGTTAATAAATTTTAATAGGTATACTTATTTTCTTTATATGTAATTATCTACATTTGAACTTTGCAAATTCAATTTGTAGTCACATTATTTACATTTTGTCTTTGTCTCAAAGGAATAGAATTAGAATATACTTCTTCTTGACTTAGCATTTATATTGAACTTATAACATTCAAATTCAGAGCATCCAAACCATACCATATAGTGATACATATTTTTAAATTTTATTTTCTTGAAAAAAATTTCTGTGTTTATGCTTTTGTGTCCAAGAAATAAAATGCAGTTTTGTTTTCCAACAGATGATAGAGACTTTTGAAAATTAAAAGTAAATTTTTAAATATTATTGAATATATGTACATTTGAAAGTATGGAAATTGAAAAAAGTAAAAACAAGATTGAAAATTCTTGATAATTCTTCTACACTAAGATAACAGCTGTTAACATCTTATAGTTTCCAATTTATTTTACAAATATCACTGTCCTGTAACACTATAGCTAAACATTTACCCACGAATACAATTTTTGTCTTTAAATAGATTTTTAGAAGTATAATTGCTGAATCAAAGGGAATGCGTGCATTTGGTGTTATTCAGAAGTTTTCACAAATTGACATTTAAAAATATGATGTCCATTGGTGTATGATTAGATTCTAATCCTTTGTATTTTTTTTATTTTTAATATTCAGATAAAAATCTCTTACAAACATAATGCAGTTTTATCTACAGAACCATTACCAGATAACAGAATTTCACTTATCATGCTTTGGTTTAAAATTGCTGTATATTTTCTTATTGAACAATGTTATAAATGATGGATCTATAAATACATTTTTAACCTATAAATACAAATTAGAAAGTGACCCTATTCCAGAAGTGGCATCACATATGAAAAGAATGGTTGATTGGATATAAAGTGTGGTATACAATAGTAATGTTCTTTATTTCTGACTCCCAGGGAGATTATACTTCCCCATACCCTTGAAGGCAGGAGCAGTAATGTGACTAGTAGCTATGGCCAGTGCACTGTAAGGAGAAGACCATCAGCTCTCCAGATGAAAAATAAATAAATAAAATGATCCACTACATGATAAAGGACAAAAAGACAAATTCTAGATATATTAAAAAATCTATCCATGGGAAAAAAACAAAAAAATAAAGGAGACTGTCCATATTTTTTAAACATTATACCAAAAAAAGCCATATGTATGAAATAAATTTGAAATCAAAAACACTACACTGCAAAAGTCAGACCAAGAAGAAGAAAATTGTGAGAATTCATAATGCCTTGGCTAGAGAAGATTTAATAAACACATGCCTCCCTGGGTGAGACTAGTTGAAAAGCAAAGGAGTGTCTGCAAACTGGGCCTCCTTTGCAGTTTCTAGGCTGAAAACAGCCAGATCCTTGTTGCGGCTCAATGCCCTCACCCAAGGAGTAAATGCTTAACTTAGAGAAACATTTATCTTTGATGGTCATGCACTCCACGCACTCCCTGACTGCACACACGTCACAAGCACAGCATGTTCTGATCAAAAGGTACTCCCTATGCCACTGTCCTGATTCTTAAAGCTTCACATTCCTTCTTGTTTTTCTTATTCCCTTGATGTATTGATAACGTTCAAAATAAAAGTGGAGGCAGTTTGACTTGGGACCTTTCCCCACTAGAGTGTCTGGTCCCCACACCCTCTCCTTTCTCCTCCTAAGGTGTCTGGAGTAATTTTTTCATTCGCTGCCTCAGGATTTGCTGGCCAAACCCAACAGAAAATATAATACTTGGGGAAGATACCTAAATATTTTCAACATAAGCAAAGATAAATGTATATGTGTGCATCTCTACACATATATTTAAAATTTCTACAAATCAACAAGAAAAATTAAAAAAAGCTGTAGAGAAAAATATGGCTAAAGAAAATGAAGAGTAATTTTTAACATTTCTTTTTGAGAATTCTTCCATTCTCTGCCTTTGTTAAGCCTTTCTCCTAATTCCTAATATTCTTTCTTATAATTTATAAGGATTCATAAATTCTTTCTTGCATTAATTCATTGAAGAGATATTGCTTGCCTGCTATGTCCTAGACATCGTTTAATGGTTTGGTGGACAGGCCATTTTCACTTCCTGAATTCCTTTATTTATATAAATACTTCATCCTAACACTGAGCTCAGGAAGACCCAGTACCCAACTAGAAGTGGTACAGTTTCCAGATTATTCTTGATTTTAGACAAAATATGATTGATTCAACTAGTCTTTTGAGCATTCCAGATATGTTTATACTTTTTTAAACAAACCATCAGTAATCTAAATAAATCAGTGATTGGAAGATATCACAAAATGTAGAAGAGTAGAATGGGAAAAAATATAGATCTCCACTAATCTTGCTGATGCTAATTTTGTTTTTGCAGTCCATGAATTATTATAAACAGCCAAACTTCTAGTTAGTAGATCAAGCAAGACCATGTAGATATGCCACCCCAGAATTTACTCTGACTAACAAGAATTTATTGGAAAAATAAGCAAACCAACTGTAACTCAAGTTCTCGAAGATATGTTTGGACTTAGGCCAAAAGTTTAACTTCCTTTACTTACGACTTCTCTTTCTTTGACCCAGGTTCCCTCCCAGGTGTTCTTTTCAGTGCACTTACTCTGAGATCAATATTAGCCCCATGCTTCTAGTTTCTTCCATTTTCATTACATTATAGTATGAGGAGGTAGAAGTTATCGTAGTGTTTGTCTTTCTCTTTTATTTTTGTGCTGTTTCTCATCAAAGGACTTTTTTTTTTTTTGCATTACCATTGTCAATGTTCATTTGTTCAAAAATAACTGAGATTTGCTTTTTATTTTTATTTACTCCACAGCAACATAAAGCAGTGCATTGACCTTATGTTAAGATATTACTAATCTGTGAAAATCATATGTGTGAAATTGGAAACAACTTTTTAGTTAAACAGGGGAAGGGTGAGATTTTATGAAAGCCTGGCTTTTGATACATATGAAGAAATATTTACATCCAAAATTAATTGTCAGTAATTCTGTGCCCTTTTTCCACAGGATAGAATGTTTAAATTTTGTCAAATGAAGCATATTTTTGAAACACTTGATAAAATGAGATGCTTGAGAAAACGTTCCACAGTGTCATTCTTGGGAGTTCTTGTCATTTTCCTTCTCTTTATGAACTTGTACATTGAAGACAGCTATGTTCTGGTAAGTTTTGGAGGTTAATTATTTTTGTTGTTGCTGTTACAAATAAGGTCTAAATCAAATTAGGCTTAGTCCAATTGTAACCTAACTTCAATCCCAGGCTGCTGGAACAGCCTTATTTGAGCAAAACTGTAACATGTATACTTTCTATCTAGCTACTTTTTGTATTAATTCTATAAGCCCAGCATTACAATTATTTTGATTTATGTTGCAATATTTTCTTTAGTGCTGCATATAGTAGTTCAAATATGTGTATTTGGTTATAAATAAATTAGCTATCACTATGCTGGATTAATTTTATGTATTAGCCATAATAATTTCTGAGCTTTAATTTGAAATATGTAGAATTTTAAAAATTTCTTAAAGATATTAGTCCTTACTTTCTCAGTTTTTTATATTATCATTGAAATTTTCAAAATCTTATTTTTTAATTAATGATACTAATTATGCTATTTTGTTAAGAAGTAATATTTTATTATAATGTATGACACCTCACTTGATTTTGAATAGTCATAAATGGCCACCATGTTATATATTTATATTCATTGAAAAGTAGTATGGAACCTCAAGAACTAGAGATAATGATGTGAAAACTATTCAGTAGTTTAAAAAAGATAACTTAGTGTATAATATATAAATGAACTTTTAAATAAATTCTAGAAATATACAAAAGGACTTACTCTGGCTAATTTTGAGAACTCTATTTGTTCTATTATTTGTTATCATTGTAAATACCATATCATTTCATGTCTGATGAGAATAACATGGACGTTTTTGCTTATTTACTTTCTGTCTGAATTGAGCTTAAGATATCTGGAGAAATCCTAATCTTTATGTTATTGCTCCTGTTCACATATTTCAGAAAATCAAAATCTTTGGACACAGAGAGGACTGAAAAGTACTTTCCACCATGCAAGCATGCGGAAAGTTTCAATGAATATCTTAGCAAGAGAAAATATGACAATAACCACAAAGAGCATTTCCCAGTAAAATGTTTTATTTCATTAATTGAACATGATATTACCTACCCATGAATTGTCATGTACTATTCTATGCCAATAGGCCAACCATTTGATCTTAGTTGAGACAGATCCTCTCAGGATGTCTTCTATAAAGCATCTTGCTTCCATTAGCATTGTTCTTTGATGATGAAATTCTGCCATATTCCTAGATCTTGACTCTGCCTATGCCTTTTACATTCACATATACTTCTTGATCTTGTGGTCCCTTCATTCTGTTATCCATAGACAATTCACAATGGCTGAAATCACCACAGATGAATAGAATTTGATTAGGCATGATTTAGGTAAACATAGCAAACTGGAGAAACTTACTAATGAGATGCATTTTTACCTTTCTTTAAACCCAATTATTAGGTTTATGAGACTTACAGACAATATAGCAAGCCCCATGTGACCCCCTATTTTTTCTGGATAAAATTAAAGATCATAAATTAATAAAGAAAGCTTTTGATAAATGATTTAATTTTGTAATAAAAATTTATCTTTTGCATCTATGTCTACTGGTAGCAGTAAATCACATCTTGTAAACCAAACACATGGTATTGACAGGATGCTTATTGTATTCAATGACTTGCTGCATTTGTAAGACACTTTTAAACACAATTTCAGTGTTTCATTTTAAACAGACAAAGGACCATTGTATGCAACAAACATCTTTACATCTTGTTAATATAGAACCTCCTCAAATTCATTGTAAAATGTGTAAGAAGTAATAGAGTGTATATCTATAAGAGGATCAAATACTATTGCCCTGTTTTGTGGATTTGTACACATTTCTATCCAAGCTTCAGTCCTACCCATCTAATGTAAAGGGTGTGATTTAATGAAGCAGCTCTTACTAAAGAGTATTTACTTTCTCAATGAAATTTTCTCTGGCTAAATTACACATATATCTAGTCAAATTTACAAATCAGGCCAAGTGTAGAGAATAGATTTCTCCTTCGTTTTAAAAATTGTAATTATTTTTGGGTACCCTGGGTGGCTCAGTTGGTTGGGTGACTGCCTTCAGCTCAGGTCATGATCCCGGAGTCCCGGGATCGAGTCCCTCATCGGGCTCCCTGCTCGGCGGGGAGTCTGCTTCTCCCTCTGACCCTCTCCCCTCTCATTCTCTCTGTCTCTCATTCTCTCTCTCTCTCAAATGGATAAAATCTTAAAAAAAAAGATTAAATTAAATTTAAAAAAATTGTAATTATTTTTAAGTACTTATATTAAGTTGGAAAAAGTGAGTTAAAATGATGGTTAAATACAAGCACTCTCCTTACTGAAAATTTAATGACAGTATTTTTATTACTTTAATTTCTCACTATTTACTGATGATTTTTTTTACCTAAATTCATCCAAAGCCAAATTTCATCCCAAGGCTTAATATGTATAAAGATTTAAAACATTTAAATAATTAATGTAAAACTACACTAAAATTGTTTTTCTAAAAACGTTTAATAGCCAGAGAAAGCCAGCCACTTACTACTGTGTACAAAGTATACAATGTAGTTTCTTTGTAACACTTGTCTCTTCTGACCCTTTTATCCGTGTTTATTTCAGTTTTCACAAAATTATCTCATTCAGTTTTTTTCTTGACTTCAGAATGCCACAATGTGTACAATTTGCTAAGCATAGACATTCCTAGATCTTTTTTTTCCTGCCTTCCTTCTTTAAGGGGGAAATACTACTTATAATTCAGAGAAATCAGATAAACTATTACAAGTAAAAGATCTCTGGAGTTACTTAGCACTTTCTATTCTGCTGTTTTTGCTAGAAAATCCATTTGTGGCCTGAAATCCTTGGCATATAACAGTTTAATGTATTGCTTACATATTCGGGACATATGTGCCTTTCATTCGGAAAGGAAGCCAAGCTCAGTGTAATAGACAAATACTATTACAAGGCAAACTAAATAGAAGAGACGCTACATGCCCAATCAACTAAGCCTCTGGGCTGTGAACATCTTCAAAGTAGCCACCAGGCTATATACTTAGTCTGTTGCTAGTCCATTGAATTGCATTCCTATCCAGAAAATGATTGTCATAAAGCTTTGTCTTATTACTGAGAAATACACCACAGCATAGTAGCTACAGAAAGAAGGTATCCAGGGAGAGCCTAGCAGTTCAGGTAGATGCCCCTGGAAAGCAGCCAACAAGGCTGACTCAGGTGAAAGTTGCATTATTTATTTATGCTGAAAAGTGTAAAGGAGCTTGTTCTTGAGAATTTAATAAAGTACTTTCATATAACTTCCATTTCATTTTATATTCTGTTATGTCCTTCAATCAGGATGAATGTACTGTATCTTAACACACAAAAGGTCTGGAATTTTACACATTCAAGATAGAATTCTTAAAGAAATATTCAATATCCTGCACTTCCTTTAGAATGTAACATCACATAAGAGCAGAATGGTAAAATGAATTCAGAACTGTGACTACTGTGATTCTTATAGATATTTCTCCTAGACCCTATTGATAATGGACACTATTACATTGCTATTAAAGAAGTTGGTGCTGAACTGAGTCCTTAGTTACTTTTTTAGCAATCCTAAATTTATTTTAAAACTCTGATAATGTTCTATAGGTTTTCAGAAAGACAAAGATGAAAATATTTATGTGTAAAGAAATTATAATAATCAGAATTCAATAGATATTCAATATTTATAAGAAATATAGAATTCAAGGTATAATTTCATGTATTTTGAAAGTCTGTAACCTATAGATGGCAAATATATTATAAATATTGTAAAAGGCTAACATATTTTTCTCAATTATCAAGACAATATAAAATATAGAAATACAGTATTAAAGACCAAGTATAGGTTTATAAACATAATTGAATATACAGAAGAGATATTCAGAAGGGATCTTGAGTTAGCAAAAACCAGATTGAAAGCTCTTCCCAGTCATGGTCTACTATTCTCAATTTTTATTCTAAGACAATTCCAGTCTGGCCAATGATTTAAAATTTTGAGCCAGTCTCTTTCTCCATTGACATTTGAATGTGATGCAAAGTGTTGAATGTTCCAAATGAGGTAAAATTTGTATTTGAATCCTTTCTAATTTTTGTAATAGTGATTTAATTAAGGTTTTATTGACCACAGGCAGATAATATGAGGACCAAATTGGTTCAAATGCATTTACTTCCTCTATAGTCTTAATGGCTTGCACATGCCTGACCTGCCATTGTATATGGAATAGTAGAAATAGATCCATATAACATCAAGAAAAGAGAATCTTTTCTTGACTCTTTCAGCTTCTGGTCACTCTTGCCATCCCACGGTACAGTAGACACTTGCCAAAAACAACAAAATTCTTTCTAAATAGGTTATCTTTGAATATATATTCTACCCATGGTAGTAAGCCTGATACAAAGGCCAAGCAAGTCAATATTTTGCTAATAATGTATAACCAATAAAAACTTCATCAAATCATGATTAGATAATCAAAACCTACTATTGAACTTATACTAAGTAAGAGAGAAAAAGGGACCAATTAGTAATTAACAGGATATATTTAAGCTAAATATGAATCTTTTTTAAATAAAAACCTTCTCAAAGATTGAATGACAGAAGTCCATTACCAATTACATAAAGGGGTTCTTAAACATAAAAGGACCAGACTTCAACTCCAATAGAATACTACTTACACAAACACACACACATGCATGCATTCACTCACATGTACACACACACACACACACACACAAGCAACAAGCAAACATATCATGGGAAAAAGTAGTGCAAGTTCTGAAGGCATTTCCTAGACTTGGTACAAATGTATCGTAAGATATCTTGAAGACATGTGAAAAAACACTGATGTCACAAACACCATGGCTATCTATTCTCAACAGTCTTTGATTATAGTGGCCATATAAGTAACTGACTAAAGCTTCTTGACTAACAAATTATCCAGAAATAATTATATAGAAATTATGTATAGTATTATTGAACAGTTCTTGAAGAAGATGAAATAGCTTAATATGACTCAAATATGGTAAACTTAGTAAGAATTAGCTTTACATCACTGTAGATCATTGTGAAATTTTAAGATCATTGAATTATTGTAAAGGATTTGAATTTTAACATAAAGGCAGTGGGAGTTTTCACATAGAGATTTTTTTGTCCAGAGAATGCCATTATTAATGTACGCTGTGGAAAAGCAAATAGAAGAGAAGTATAAAGAGTACAATACAGTAGGAGAGCCTGGAGTAGAGACTCTAGGTGGGAATTCAGGTGAGAGATGAGGATCTATAGTTTGTGGTGCAGTAGTTGAGATTTATATAATACCCATGTTGCATATCAACCCCATATGTTCGTTGTTTAAGGAGAAACTTTATTTAATCCATGACCATCTATTATTTATTTATTTTCTCTGCCTCCTTCATGGCATTCAGGAAGGAGATAAACAACTTATAAGGGAAACATCCACACATCAGCTGAATTCAGAACGTTATGTGCATACTTTCAAAGATTTATCTAATTTCTCAGGAGCCATCAACGTCACCTATCGCTACTTAGCTGCCACACCTTTACAAAGAAAGCGTAAGTATCCCTACACTTTCAAATAAAGAACACATAAAGTATTTTTGTTTTTTTAAAATTAGGGGGCACCTGGGTGGCTCAGTTGGTTAAGCGACTACCTTCAGCTCAGGTCATGATCCTGGAGTCTGGGATCGAGTCCCAGGATCAAGTCCTGCATCGGGACCCCTGCTCAGCGGGGAGTCTGCTGCTTCCTCTGACCCTCTCCCCTCTCGTTCTCTCTCTCTCTCTCTCTCTCAAATAAATTAATAAAATCTTAAAAAAAAATAAATAATGAAATAATGACAACTGGCTTCATTTGTATCACAATAAAACTTTATGGGCTTTACTAATATATATTCTTTGGGAAGTAATTCAGTGTTTCCTCACGAATTGCAGTTACTGATCCAGTTCCATTAATAACCAAAAAAAGAAATTTTTTAAAATGCCTAATTGTTATATAAACTTTCAAACAGTTTGCTGTAGAACCACGTAGAGAGACTGAGAAAAATCAATTTATTTGAACTTTTAAAACTTCCCTTTTAAAAATAACTATTCTCATACCATTATATTTTCTAACTCTAATGCTTTGATTTTTTGACTTGCCACTGCTTTTGAAGTGTGAACGTCATTGTTTTAGTTTACCAAGGTGCTATAACCAATTACCACAAACTAGGTAGTTTAAAACGATGGGGATTTATTCTCTCATATTTCTGGAGACCAGATGTTCAAAATCAAGGTGCTGACAGAGCCGCTCTCCTGAAAGTTATAGGGGAGAATCTTTTCTTGACTCTTTCAGCTTCTGGTCACTCTTGCCATCCCTTGGTTTGTGGGAGCTTAATTACAATCCCAGTCTCCATCTCCACAGGATCTTCTTCCCTTGGTCTTTGTGTCTCTCTGTGTTCTCTCCTCTTCTTCAGGGACACCAGTCATTACATTTAGAGCCCACTGTAAATCCAAAATGATTTATCTCAAGATCCTTAACTAACTATATCTGCAAAGACTCTATTTTCAAATAAGGTCACATTCTGAGGTTCCAGGTAGACCTGAATTTTTGGAGAAAATTATTCAACTCACTATCGGTAGATTGGATCTGAGAAGTAACATACTACACACACTCTATGGATTTCAAGACACCGTAGACTATAGAAGGTATCATGATCTAATTAATGTGCCACTAAGAAAGCATAATCATTATCAGTTTTAATTGTAAGATGCCATCAATTACAATATTCAACGTGAGTTAAAATGTTTCTGTGTGAAAAATATGACTCGTGAAATCAATGAAACACAGTGATATCATGAATTTCTTAATAGGTCTTGTGGGGACCACAGAAATTGAATTCCCCATTAAGAAGTGTTTATACAAGTGAGTCTGTGATCACCAGGTTGAGGAAATTGTAACTTAACTTAATTCGGGCTTCTTTAGGTCTATCTTCCATTCATTCCTTCATTTCAAATGTCTATCGCTCTTAAGCTTTCTTCTAATTGCATAAGATTGCCAATGTTTATTTTTATCTCCATCTGTTACACTACCTTTGTGCAAACATTACTGATTCTCCCTTTCCATCCTAAGTTAGTAAACTGGCAATACACATATGCCACTGCTTTATACAAAGAGGTGATATAAAACAGAGTGTACACACAGGGCACTTTGGATCTTGGCCCCACGCTACTCATTAGGTGTTACACTTTGCACAAGTGAACACATCTCCCTGTGATTGAATTTCCTTTCCTCATCTATAAAGCAGAAATGATGACAAGTACAAAGCTGTCCCAAAAGATGGTTAGGGATATTCAAGATGCATGTTACAGGCAAAATGCATAGATTCCTGCCTTTAATGTAGGAAGTATTCTCATAGTATTGGCTATTCTAGGGCATTAGTAAAGGCTGGTATCTTGAGTTGAATGGTACCACAGAACATATTCATTTTTCAAAAGAGGTTAGGGTCGTAAACCCAGGTATTTAAACAAAATGTGTAAATCTCTACCTCTCCGACAGACTAGTAAGAAAGATTATTCTTAGGGCTTTTTTAGTATTGCATAAGTCACAACAAGTAGGTGTCTGTATTAAAACAGTGATCTTGGTGAATAGAAATATTTTCCTATTTTTCAAGTAGTTTTTAGGAAATTTTATTCAGTTCTGAATCATGGTAATAATCAGAGCTTTAAAAAGTGAAAATATTTCGAGAAAGAGACATCTACAATTCTTAGAAGTAAACTGCCATTTCATAAGGTTTTATTTTAGTCCCTACAGATATCCAGTTTCTAATTTTAGATTTTAGATTCTGTAAAAATTTCCCATCAGAAAATTGCTCTAAAATTGTGTTTCAAAATAAGGAAAACAGTGATATTCATGTATTGGAACAATGTACTATATATTTGAATAATAATGCAGTTTTTAAAAATAGTTTATAATTTTGTTTCCATTCTAATTAATGTTCTAGGTAAATTTCAAAATAAAACTGTGAAGTCCAATTATTAATTTTTCTGGTGTGAGATAATGACAATGATCAAAGAAAAATGAAAATGTAACATGTTTCTATGAAAAATTTAAAGATAATTAAAAGAATGAGTTATGCTTAATTTTCTTTTTTATCATTTGAGACTTATTTGTCATCCTTAACTGTGAATTTCCTTCTCCTTTTGCATTTTTTAATACTAGGGATATTATCCAAAAATCTATCTTCTCTAATGGATATATATGAGAACAATAAGCTGCAAAACACCTTAAATGGTTTTTTTTATTTCATAAACAAATGTTTACATCAATAAAGCTCATATGTCATTGTGCTTAAGATGTATTTTTTTCCATAGAAAAGGCAATTATGTATTAAGTCCTATAGCCTTTACATATTTAGCATAAGACTTCACTCACAAAATATTCTACACATACCATTTACTAGATGTACCTAATATCGTAGCAGGCCTGAGGGGAAAAGTTTTTTTTCCATGTTATTCAAAGCCTATTTCGCATTTAATTTGTCTTCTTTCTGAATTCTTTCACTCAGGGTTTCTTACAATTGGACTTTCATCAGTGAAACGAAAAAAAGGAAACTATTTACTTGAGACAATCAAGTCAATTTTTGAGCAATCCAGCTATGAGGAGCTGAAGGAAATTTCAGTGGTGGTTCACCTAGCAGACTTCAATTCATCCTGGCGTGACGTCATGGTCCAGGATATTACACAGAAATTTGCCCACCACATTATTGCAGGAAGATTAATAGTTATACATGCTCCAGAGGAATACTACCCAATCCTGGATGGCCTTAAGAGAAATTACAATGATCCAGAAGACAGAGTCAGATTTCGTTCTAAGCAAAATGTAGACTATGCTTTTCTGCTTAATTTTTGTGCCAATACTTCAGACTATTATGTAATGCTTGAAGATGATGTTCGATGTTCAAAAAATTTCTTAACTGCCATCAAGAAAGTGATTACATCCCTAGAAGGAACCTACTGGGTAACTCTTGAGTTCTCTAAGCTTGGCTACATTGGAAAACTTTATCATTCTCATGATCTCCCACGTTTAGCACACTTTTTATTAATGTTTTATCAAGAAATGCCTTGTGATTGGCTATTGACTCATTTTCGGGGTCTTTTAGCTCAGAAAAATGTGATCCGTTTTAAACCATCTCTCTTTCAGCACATGGGTTATTATTCATCATATAAAGGGACTGAGAATAAGCTGAAGGATGATGATTTTGAAGAAGAGTCATTTGACATCCCTGATAACCCTCCTGCCAATCTATATACCAACATGAATGTTTTCGAAAATTATGAAGCAAGCAAGGCTTATAGTAGTGTTGATGAGTACTTTTGGGGGAAACCACCTTCAGCAGGAGATTTCTTTGTGATTATATTTGAAAATCCGATTTTAATTAAAAAAATTAAAGTGAGTACTGGAACAGAAGATCGGCAAAATGACATTTTACATCATGGAGCCCTAGATGTTGGGGAAAATGTTGTAGATTTCAAACAAAGTAGACAATGTGTTACTTACTTAAGACTAGGGGAATTCAAAAACGGAAACTTTGAAATGTCGGAGGTGAATCAAAAAATTCCATTTGACATAAATTGCATAAGGATATATGTTACCAAAACACAAAAGGAATGGCTGATTATTCGGAGTATTAGCATTTGGACTTTTTAACCAATTAAATCGATATGTCCAGTTATTGAAGCAGGCTTTCCTGTTTCCCTTTTTGCTACCTTCCTCTTTTGCTACTTTTGTCTGTTGGAGGGAAAGCAATGGATGGAATATTTTCAAAGAAAAGTCTAATCATTTTGGCAGTTTTGATTTACATATTGTCAACATAATTTTATTCTAATCCACACTTGTATTTATTTTAACTCTTGAAGTTGAGAATCAGTCCATGGTTAATGCTACTTCCATTTATATTTTTATGTGATCATGTTAGTTCCAAAATTTCAACTAAATGTCAAAAAGGTGACATGAAGGATTTAAAATGAGAACACTTAGTTTGTTGGATGGTGAGTCTTGAAAAATAGTTGCCAACTATATGCACTTCCTCAAAATTAAACATTCACTATATCATCAGATAGCTTTCATTAAGCATCTGTGTGAATATGCAGTTGGTTAGAATGATAATCCATTTTTTTCCTGTAAACATAGGTTCTCATAGACTTCTGTACATCTACAATGAATACCTCCTCATAGAAATATGTCTTTACAACAGAATTTTGTGCATAGCTGGAGTGATGGAAAGAAAAAAATTACTTAAAAATATTTCTCCCCTGATTATTTATAAAAAGGGGCATTGTTCATTGTATAAAAACACTTAATTGAGCACCTATTGTTAATAAATTTTCTGTGGGAAGCAGTCTTTTTCTAGATTCCCTTTTGCAAAAAGAATAGTTATGCTCAATATTTTCAAGTTATATTGGGTACCTACCTTTAACAGACGAAATTAGAGAAGGCCTATACTTAGTTCATTCTTACAAACATTTTCAGTAAATGTAGAAAATTTTTGGAATTGATTTTATATGTTTTGTATTAAAATTCATACAATTGAAATTGTAATCTATCATATACTTTCTTTGAAGTTTAAACGGACATCTTATAAAAGAGAAAAGTAGGAAACATAGAAATCAGTTGACTTTTCTATATTCAGAGATAGTTCAAAGGAAAACCAAAGTGAGAGATCAGATGTTCTGATATCCAGACAGCACCCTCTCCCTTATGTAGTGATTGCTCCTCACATAAATTCTGCTTTCTGTTCACCTCTACCTAAGGCTCAGATAGTAAGTTATGTTATCTTGAAACGGCTAGTATAACTCTTCCATAAGTCACATTTTCATTCTGTGGAATAAGCCTAAAGTGTCTGAAATGATAGTCTTGTATATGCACCCACATGATGAGCAAACTTGACTTTTACTATAAGGAACTGGACAATTGTGCCTAAACCATTTGTCCTATTAAAGCATTTCAGGAGACCTTAGTGCATCCTAAAGACATTGGTTGTCCAGAATGCCCTGAACTTATCTGACCCTTTCTATCTTTTGACAGACAGCAAAGATAAAAGGGTTTACTGTGAAGATATGAAAAGTACTTCATGCGTGTTTATGGAGAGGCTCAAATGCATATGTTTTGATAGATTGGAAAGTATTTTATTCACTCTATCCAAATTGATTAAATTAGAAACTCGTAAAACTTTGGGAATTTTTTCTTTTATTGATACAATAGCTACTGTGTATTTTCTTTGCATCCAGTTGCTATAGTATAATAAAGAGAAAATTTGAATCTATAAATATTAATATTTTGTTGCACTACTAAGTCTCAAAGTCATAAAAAATGAACACTGCCACTAAACTATAATCTTTGCCTTGATTTGGAGGATATTTGCCAGATGTTTGAAGATATTCTATTTTCTTGGCTTTTCTCATCCTCTTTCATTAACTGGCTAGTTGCATAATATTCTCCATATATCTCAGAAATTACAAATAATCATTTTTCTGCACTTTTAATGACAAAAGGTACACAACAAAGACATGTAATATCAAGACTTAGGCAGACTCCATGAAGTGATTGTAAACTTCTCAGAGTCTGCACAGGTTCTGAGAGTGTTTCCAAAGACCAGCCATTGACATCAACTTCTGGAAAATACTTCAAGAAATATTGCCGAGGGTAACAATGAAATCGAATGTTTGCTAGAGAATTATAAATGCAAAGTGATTTTAAGGTTTTACATTTTATCTTAAACTTGATCTTTTCATTATGGAAACCAGGTTTGAATAAGCTGGTCAGTCACCTAAGGATGTCTTTATGTTTTCTTTATAGATTGAGTGGAGGTCAACTTTTTAAGGAAAGACTTTGACAAACAAAGCTTCTCCATTAGAGAACAAGGGGACAAATAACCTTTCTCTTTCTAAAAGATACATTCTTTATATGAGTCAACATTACATTCCCTATATTTAAAAATTCTGAAAAAGGCTCCTGTAATCTTGTCTCAGAGGCATAGAGCAAAAAGTTATTAGGTTTAATTATAGTCAATCTGTTATTAAGCATTATGTCTCATCAATGTCTCTTTGTAGTAGGTTTTTTAAAATACATATTATTTTCTTTGTTACAAATATCCATTGAAAAACACTGGAATGTAACACAAAAGTTGAGTTATAATTGCTACGTGAATAAGATGCTGACAGGGTTTGAGCACAAAATATGGTATATACCTTAAATAATGTCTCAATTTGTTTACTTTAAATTGACTAAAAAGCTTATTTACATTTAAATTTCTTCTCCTTAAGGAAGCCTTTTCAGCATTTATAAACATCAAAGAAAAGCATTCATAAAAGCACAATAAAAATATGGAAATTATACATTTTTGGAAAATACACATTATAGCAGCAATAACATGTCTGGATATAAAAATACATAAAAAGTGTTAATATAAGCACTGTTCCATTATCATCCAAAAAACTATAAATTTTGTAAGATAGATATTTTCCAGATTAAAAATATAATTTGGAAACCAAGCATCATTTAGAACAACTTTTCTCATATAGCTACACTTATGAGACTAGAACATTCCATTTGTTACTGAACCATTATTCTCTGGGAATTTTTAAAAGCTGTCATAGAAAAACTATCCTGTACAATAATGGCACCCAAATGAAACAAATATTTACAAATTACAAGGTATGGTAGGGAAAGCACTTGCTCTTCCAAATGTCCATATGGCAAACATCAGTCAATATTTGCCAGTTTGTCACATGTCCTTTAGAACATGACACCCTGGATTAACATGGAAAACTCTACTCAATGTCCTCCAACATCTGAAGATAACAGTGTGATCTCTTCCGTTGCCTCATCAGTATTTCCATTAACACTGTTGAAGATTACATTTATTTTTATCACCATGCTGCTACTAACAAAGCTCACACTCAAATTTCACAATCTTTATTACATGATCTCCTGATAAAACCTGATTTGATATTTTGTGTATGTTCAATTGATTTTTGAAGGTTTCTTGTAAAATTTAGTATTAATTTCAAGAGAATTTCATTTTTTTTCTTCTGATCCATGACTCCCTACTTTCCAGCTTTTGATTCCATCTTTCAATGTTTTAACATAACTCCCCAGCTTTCTGGTACCACAGATTTGGTATGTGTGCCTTTTGTCCTCTCAGGAAATACATTTAAAGGGTCAGGTAGACCTGAGTTTGAAACCCAGTTCTGCAATTACTGACCTCCAGATATGAGGAAAGTTATTTAACCTTTATGAATCTTAGTTCCTTCATCTGTGAGGTTGAAATTATTTTACCTTGTAGGCTGTTAGAACTGAAAAGGAGATAAAGTAATCAATCAAGAAATAAATGTTTCTTCTCTTTTTAGCCACGTTATATATGTTAAAAAAGGATATGGCCCTTCAAAACACTACCAGAGGCCTTCATCCTGACCAATATCAACTTCATTACCCACTAGAAATGTCATCCAGACCACCTTTTTATATTTATATTGTTAAAGAATGTCATGTAGGATTATGTAAATGCCTTCCTAAAATCAAGATATATTTCTATCATTCTATTATTACTCTAGAAACCGCATCCAAAATTTGTAACAGTTGTTCCTAATATTCCCATTGTAAATATTAATGATCATTCTTTTTAAGAAATCTAAACCCATTTCTTTTGAAAAATTAAGAAAAAAAGGCTTTTTGTAATTTCTAAAAATTTGCCCAGTATCTCCAGTAAACTCACAGAGCTACAGTTTGCCAAGTCTTTCTTTTTTTAATATCAAGTTTATATTCTTTTGTCTGTTTTTTCCATTACTGGCAAAAGTTATCAGTGCACTAGCTTATAAATTACCTGTTCAAACTTGAAAATAGGATTCCTCTCCTTGTCTACCTTGAGTTTCATTGTTTCATTGTTTAGATTTCTACTCCTTTGAATTTCTTCTCGGTTCATTTGAGGATTATTCTTGTCAGAAGGAAGAAGGTCATAACAAAATGTAATTTGGTTAGTTCTTGCTCGTTGTCTGTTTGCTTTTAACTCTTTTTGAATGTTCCAAAATTATCGCATCATTCCATATATGGGTGTGTGTATCTATTCTGTGTGTGTGTGTATCTATGTCTGTGTGTGTGTGTATATATATTTGAGTATATGTGTATTTGTGTGTGTGTGTGTGTGTTTGTGAGAGCAAGAGGAAAGAGGAAAAAATGAGGGAGAGGTATGTGTATCCTTAGCATTATTTTTGACAACCACACCTCCACTTGTTCTTGGCTTCAGTGTTCCTAACATACTGCTTTCCTGGTTGTGTCTCCCTTCTGAACTGGCTTATGGTTATGTGTCCATAAATATTTTATACATGAAAATATGAATACATTTTATATATGAAAAATCATAGCTCATTAGAAATTTCTGTACAACATTTTAGAGTCTCTAAATTCCTTAAAAGCTTATTTGTTTATTAGAAGATCCCATGTCTCTCAGAACAGGACTTGATTTTTAGAATTTCAACTTTAAATTTATTTTATTTGAATTTCTTAACATTTGAAGATTCAAATATGAGTTGCAAGGCATTCTCTTTCTAAACTATAAATATTATGAAAACAAGGTCATACCGTTCCAAAATTCTTATCTCTCCCACCTCATTAATCTGCTCATCATGGTTACTCTGACTTAAGTCCAGAGTAGTGCTCATTTCATTAATTCCAAAATCTTCTGAGATGCATGAATGTTCTATTTTGAGCATTGAAATTGAAATGTAGATTTGAGGCCATTTTCTAGATAATTGGATCTGAACATCTATTCTGAAAAACTCATACATATTTGAGACCAAAGTAGTTTCTTATTTGAACTATTGCTTCAGCTTCCCATTTTGCTCTGTCTAGATATTCTCTTCAAAAATTCACCCAAAAGTTCAATTTATTATGTGATAAAATGAGTAAGAGTTTTATGCTCTTAGAAAAATATAATCACATTAAGAATATAGTATGAGCAAATTTCATGTCTTATTGAAAGAAAAGCAGTACCCTGCATAGCCATCTCTTCAAATAGCTGAATTAAAGATATATTGATAAGGTTCTCAATATTTTTTCCTATTAAATGAAAATTTTTATAAGGCATACACTTGTTAAATTTAATAAGCCGGAAATTATTTAATGATTATTTAAGGGTGAAAAATGACAGTGAATAAACAGTATTCAGAAACTTAGCCTATACTTTCAATATACTATGTGTTACTACAACTTAAACT